ATGGAGGAAGGGAGTAAGAAATGTGCTGGCAGACAGAGGGGTTCTCGTTCTCCTGGCCTCCAGGAGTCCAGGCCTACCAGGCACCTAGGCCACAGTGAACCACAAGCCCCTCCAACCGGCCCAGCTCCCCTCGGCAGGCCCTGGGGGTAGGGAGAGCTCTCCCTTCACACCCCACCCCCAGCCAGGCCAGAGTTTGCTGTGCTTAGCACTTCCCCGGCCCCATCTTGAACACATTAGCCCCCATACTCAGCTGGCTGGAGGAGGTTACATTTTCCATGGAGAGAGAGCGAGAGAAACAGCTTGCTAGAGGAATAGTCTCTCTTTGTTCCCTTAAGCTCTCTGCTCCTCAAGTGGGAGCCCCTCCCTGATGCCTCGATCTGATTTCAGTGAAGGAAATGAAGCCAGCGAGAAATGGAGCAGAGGGCCTGGAGTGGGTTTGAGTGGAGGAGGGGTGCTGGAGAGAGGAACAGGTGAGGAAGAGCAGCGTCTCCTGGGGGGCAGGCCCAACTGGCTTGGGTAGGGGAGGGCAGCCCTCTCCACATGCTAGGTGCTGCCCCGCTCCCAGAGCTGGGTTTGCTGAACTTGCCCCCCCTTCATGATGATGGACGGAGCACCAGACTTGCAGTCCCAACTCTGAAACTGACCAGTGTCTCCCCACAGGCCTGTCACATCCACCTTCTGAGCCTCAGATACAGTCTGTCCTTTCAGCCCCAAAACTGTTCTGGTGATCAAAATCAAATATGATTTAATTGCATCAATTATCCTTCAATTAAAAATAAATTTTAAAAATTTTAAATGATTCATTAAAGTAAATGGTTGATGATAATTAGACCTTCAGGGATGTGAAATCCAGGTCTCACAGTGAGGGGCAAAGAAGCTCACCAGAGAGGGGATGAAGCCCACATCTTGCCTCTACAAGCCAGTCCAGGCTGGTCTCTGACTTAGGACCTCCTCCAGAAGCAAGCCCATTCTTTAAAGATGTCCTTTTTCCTTCCCCAACAGCTGGTGGCCTTTTTGTTCCCATGGCTTCTGCTGGTCCCATCTACTGGGGGAGCTAAACTGCTCACAACTGCCTCCCCAGACACAGCCAGTAAAGGCCAAGCTGAGCCTAGACTCTCAGCCTCTTCCACCCTCCAAGGCTTGGAGTGGGGAACACTGTCCTGGGAGTCAGGACACCCTGCACCCACCCTGCTCTGCCACCATCTCCTCTGAGTCGTCAGACATACACTTCCGATGCCTCAGTGGGACATGACAAACAGCCCAAGGAACCTCCACATTTCCTCCCAACTCTGATGGTCTACAAGACCAGTTACCAGGTAACCAGAACATCTGGGCTACAGGGCTTCCTGTCCAAGGGGCTTGTTGTAAGTGGGATGCATGCAGAACAAAAGGATTTCTGTTTCCACAAGGCTGAAACTGAGGGCAGTTTATGCATTCAGTTAAACAACCAGGGAGAAATAATATACATGGTGTCGGCAAGTCTGCCCACCACTCACACATTAAGTATATGCCCCAGATGAAGCATGAGCTGGGGGATGTGAATCTGCTCCTCTCTCACTGATCCTGGATGCTGTGTTCCTCTTTTAGCATAGTAGTATATGGAATTTCTAAGGGTAATTTTAACTATGTGCTTTTGGTTTGGGTTTGCGTTTTTGTTATTGTTTTTGTTTTTTGCCTTATACTCTACTTAGGATACTTTCAGTTATAAATACCTAAAAACTTAATTTAGACTTATGTAGTAAAAAGTAGTTATTGCTTATATATCTGAAGAATCCAGCAGCAGCATGCTTCAGGTACAGTTTGATGCAGGGGTTCACAGTATCAATGGAATTTCAGCTCTTTCTCTTGATGCTTCTCTCAGTCCTTCCTCTCTCAATATGTCAGCTCATGCCCCGCATCAGTAAGGTGGCTGCTAGCAGTTCCAGTTCTGCATCTGTACACCATGTCATCCAGAGAACAGGGACTACTTTGGTCCCTAAGGCCTAAGAGGAGATACTGAGACTGGGTGAGTTACATCACTGACCTGCCATGACGCAACCACTTTAGTCCAAGGATAACACTGGCCTGGCCTGCAGGATCTGCTCAGTCCCTACAACCAGAAATGGAGCCAGCTTTCCTGGATCCACAAATAGAAATGAGGACTGTTGGGAAAATGGAAATGGAAAACTAGGGAAGTAAGCAATATTGACTTTAAATGGGACCTGGGTCACGTCATTGAACCTCTGTGCGAGAAAGCATTCAATTTCTCAGCAGCCTTTTTCCCAGGCACCGCATCTGGAGACTCCTCTTAGGCCTGTTGTTGTTTAGTCTGACACTTTTACAACTCCATGGACCGTGGCGCCCCAGGCTCCTCTGTCCATGGGATTTCCCAGGCAAGAATACTGGGGTGGGTTGCCATTTCCTTCTCCAGGGGATCTTCCCAACCCAAGGATTAAACCGGCATCTTCTGTATTGGCAGGCAAATTGTTTATCACTGAGCCACCAGGGAAGTCCCCTCTTAGGCCTGAGGCAAAACCAAAAACTCTCGAAATTGCTGCTGCTGTAGACTGTCAGACAAAAGGTCAGATCGGTCCCTGGGACCTTTCACCCTGGGCTTCAAGACCAGCCTAGCAGGGTGGTCTGCTAGGGCAGATGAGGGCGACGGGGCCCAAGGAATTGTGATGCTAAAACACTGACCACAGCCGGCAGCAGGCATTTCAGGCTGGTTTATGTGGGAAAGCCTGGGGTAACCAGTGAGGGTCTCCTGGAGCAGATGGGACTTTGTGCTGGGTCTTAAAGGGATGGTCTCCAGGTGGGGTCTGCACCCCACAGGGGATGCACAGGACAGCATACTGGAGCCTAGAGATAAAATGACTATTTTTATTTAGTTCTATTTAGGTTTATCTTTTATCTGGAAAAAATAGGATTACTGATGTTCAGTACACAGATTGACAGCTGTGCACTGGTGTAATTGACATGTAAATTTACACGCCCTGGGGGTCCGTGTTACCTTTCTTCCCCTGTCAGTTCAGTCAGTTCAGTTGCTCAGTCATGTCCAGCTCTTTGCGACGCCATGGACTGAAGCAGGCCGGGCCTCCCTGTCCATCACCAACTCCCAGAGTTTCCTCAAACTCATGTCCATGTAAAAGGTTCAGAGATTAAATTGCCTTGAAGGATGGAACCAGGGCTGAGGTCTCCATCAGGCTTTGTTGGCGAGGGCGTGAGGTAGGGATCCAGGGGCCCCTTCTCCTAGGCCATGTCCTGCTGGGATCCCAGGGGCCTGGCATGCAGCAAGGCCGCATCCTGCCTTCCTCAGGTGGCCATCCTCATAGTAAGCCCCTCCCTTGGCAAGACCCTGCTTAGAAAGCAACACCAGAGACTCCCCTGGCATCCCTGTGGTTAAGAATCTGCCTGCCAATGTAGGGGACACAGGTTCGATCCCTAGTCCAAGAACTAAGATCCTACACGCCATGGGGCAACTAAGACTGGGCACCACAATGACTGAGCCTGCAGTTGTAACTACTGAAGCCCTCGCAGTCATGCTCTGCAACTAGAAAAGTCACCGCAGTGAGAAGCGGCGGTGGGTCGGGGGCAGTGGGTAGGACGCAGCACCTAGAGGAAAGACCACATGCAGCAACAAAGAGCCGGTGTACTGCACCTCGAGGAAGACCAGCGCAACCAGAAAAGAATAAGGAATAAAAAGAAAGCCACCCCCAGGGAGGGGTCCTCCAGGTCTGTGACCGAAGCCAGCCTCTAATCCTCCCCTCTGAGCAGCCCGTCTCCCCGCCTCCATGGGAGGAAGGCTGGGAGCCCACAGCCCGTGAGTCACGCTATGTGGCCCATGGAAAGGGCCTGATGCTTGCCACGACCTTTGGGGTTTGCCATCTGGTGCCCACGCCAGAGGGTATAGGGTGTCCAGCCCCTGGGAAGCACAACAGGCCTTGAGGCTACAGATGGCTATATAAGGCTGAGGCTGCCGGAGCGGCAGGGGTGCCAGACCCCAGGAGCAATTTGGCTGGTCTTGGGGGTGACGCAAACATTTCCCCTGCGCTTCGCCAGTTATCCCTCCAGTGAGACTGAATCATATTCTCAAAACCTCAAGCCTGATGGGCACACGTAATGCCGAGACTCAAGAATGGCAAAGAGGGCTGACCCAGGCCCCCCCTCCTTCATGACAAAGAAATATTTGGGGCAACACAGAGAAAACTGCCCCGGAACTAGTCCCAGCTTTGTCATTAACAGATCATGGGAACTGCGTCAGCTCACCTCTCTGGGCCTCAGTTTCTGCATCTGTACTATGAGGACAGTAAGCCCTGTCCTGCTGCATCATGCAGTGCCAAGGGCCCCAGAGGAATCATGTTTGGGAGAATGGGGCTGGGAGGTAGGGGGTGGCCCTTGTTCTTTGAAAAGGACAGAGTCCATCTTCAGGCAAATTTGGGGTCACGATGACTTGGTGTATTTACCAAGATAGTTGCATGTTGGCCATTTCCAGGACAGATGACTTCTAGGAAGGTTCCAGATTTCATGTGGAGGTTACTAGTTATACCCACTCCTGTTCATCGATGCCGTGTGGCATCTGTGAGTCCCCACAGTGATCCTGGGAGGTAAGCAGTGCTGGAATTGTTAACACATTTCACAGCCAAGAAAACCAAAGTCAGTGAACTTCTCCAGGCCATACAGCAACCCCTAGAATCTCAGCCCAAAGATCTTGCCCTGTAGTGGGGGCCCACCAAGCTGTCCGTGGGGCTTTAGCATTCCACTCTGTAAAATGGGGAGAGCTGTGAGGAGTCCGCCTTCTCAAGCAGGACAGGGACCGCTTTTCTAGAAGATGGCCAGGTTTTGTTTTTTCTAATCTAGAACCTGCTCTGCTTGATTGTATTCCTCGAAGGCATGCTTTCCAGAAAAGCATGTTCCCAGAGGGAACATCCCTCTGGGACACTTGGTCACAGACCAGGTTGACCTTGAAAATGGGAGCAGCCAGAAAAGCAAGCTTGGAGCCCAAACTCTGAAACTTTGTTTACTGACCTCTCCGTCTCTTTGGCTGGAAAAAAATGCAGCAGCCTTGACCATACAGTCACGTGCAGAATTAAGTGGCCAAGTATCACGTCGTCTAGACAAGTAGATTTTATGAGTCCAATTAACTCCTGCCAATCAAAAATAGTCATGCTTAATAAGTGGATATATTTAGAATCCATCATTATCTGGTCCCCAGGGGAAAACCTCAGCTCTTATTTCATAGACTCTTAATTTCAAACAGAGCTCTGTTAACTCCTACTTTGGACCTTAGTTCTCTCTCTTCAGAGTGGCGGGTGAGAGGCGGGCAGGGCGATAACTGACTATAAGAAGCCACATAAGTCTTGTGTCACCTGAACCCCCATGTCCATCCCTCTCAACAATCTTAAGCCAGAAAATGAGCAGTTGCTGCTTCTTTGGCTCACATTGCCAGGGGTGGGAAGCTGCTGGGAGAGCAGGGCTCCAGAAAGGTCTCTTCACTCCCGATGCGTCATGTGTGGCCCTCTGTGGCCCTCGGGGTCTGGAAGACGCCAGGGATGTGTGAGCCACGGCATCTCCTGCCAGGACAGCACAGCTGTGCCTGGGAGCTTCTGGGTCACTGTCAGCACCAGGACCCGAGCCAGCAGGCAGGTGGTGGCTGAGAGAGGGGCTGGCACCCAAAGCCTAAAGGGGTCCAGACATGCCAGAGGCAGGTGGTGCTGAAGGGAAAGAGTGCCCGCTTTAAGGATTTTGCTTCCTGTCTGTACTAGGGCTCTGCCTGCCTGCTGGTGGGCCCCTCTGGGCCATGTCCAAAGATGCTGCCTGCTGGTGGGCCGGGGATGAGGGATAGAGGGGGCTTTGGGGGTGCTCTAAGGGAAGGGCCGGGGCCATACAGACTGCAGTGGAATTCTCCCTGGACTCGAGGGATGGTGGCACTGCCAGGGCTTGGCCAGGTCAGGGGGAAGTAGCTGCTCTTCCTCTGGAAATACATGTGCATGAGAGCAACATGCATTAATTTCCAGGGGGTGCATCACAAGTTGGCACAAAGTATATGGCTTCCCCAAACAGAAGTTTACTCTCTCACAGGGTGTCAGCGGGCTCTGCTCCCCGTAAAGGGTCTAGGAGAAATCGTCCTTACTTATTCCAGCTTCTGGTGGCCCCAGGCATCCTTTGGCTGGTGGCAGCTTCACTCCTGGCACTGTCTCCATTTCACATGGCTTCCTCTTCTCCCAGGGTCTCTCCTCTGTGTGTCTCCTGTAAGGATACATCACTGAATCGAGGGCCCTCCTGGGTAGTTCAAGATGACCTCCTCTTGAGATCTTTAACTACAGTTGCAAAAAGCCTTTCCGCGAATGAGGTCACAAAGACAGAGGCTCAAGGGCCAGTTGGGTGGCCACCCCTGGCCACTCTTCAGCCCATCTGGCTGCCTCTCCCCCACAAGCCCCAAGCAAAGACGTGGTACCTCAGGGAACAGCCATGAACACTGTACATTGTACCCCAGCCCCTGGGTCCCCGGCTGAAAGCCTGTCACATGAGATGAAGAATGAGGCCCCCGAGAGACAATGGCAGATGGCCAAGATCCCAAATCATCATTCCTCTGTCTGAATGATCCTTATTACCACCCTCCTACCATCTGGTAAATTCCTATTCACCCATTAAGATCCAGCTCAAGCACACCTCCTCCAGGATGTCTGCCCTGCACTCTCCTTGCCGAGACAGCTTCCATCCCATTCGCTGCTGGGCCCATGTGGTCTTCATCTCTGTGTCTCCTGGCCAGGCCTGGACAGGCCAGAGCATCCCTCTCCCAGGGAGACGAAGATCTGAGTCTGATGAAGGCCTGCAGGGGCTACCCCTCCAGGATTCCCTCCCACCCTTCCTACCCCAACCTCCCCTCAACACGGCCCTGCAGATTCCATCCTTTGCCGGGAAGGAAGACCTCCCCTAGCATCTTCACCTGTCTTCTTTTCCTTCCCAGGTTGGTTGTTGGCGCCCCACTGGAAACCAATGGCCACCAGAAGACAGGAGACGTGTACAAGTGTCCAGTGACCGAAGGGAACTGCACCAAGCTCAACCTGGGTAATGTGGGCTGTCTGCAAGAAGGCCAACCATTGTCCACAGCGGGGCGGGCACTGAAGCACATCCCTGCCCCCAGTCACACTGCTTTCTCGTGGCTGCCCTAGGAGCTGACACAGCTGGTATTGCTGCCCCCATTTTACAGATGAGGAAGCTGAGGCCAGAGAGAGAAAGCAACTTTCTCACAGTCACACAGCTTGTCAGAAGCCGACCAGGATGCACACCCAGGTCTTCAGTGTCCCAGGCCATGGCTCTTTCTGCCCATCCATGGCCCCTCAACTCAGGGGAACAGGAACATCTCCTATCTTTTTGTTTCTTTCGGACTTGGAAATAACAATAATGGCCAACATTCATATGTCTTCCAAAAAGTTTGTTTGAATTTTTCTGTAACATCTTACAGAAAAGCCCAAGCAAACTTTTTGGCCAACCCAATATATGTTCACCTAATGCCAGGCACTGGTTTAAGCATTTTTGGGTATTTTTGACTCATTAAATCCCAACAACAATCATATGAGATGTAATCATCAATGACAGCCGGTGGAAGTGAGGGGACCTGCCTGGGGTCAGCTAATAAGCAGCAAGTTCAGGACTATGACCCAGGCAATCTGCAGCCACCCTTTACCCTTTAACTACGCAGCACTACTTTTCTGAAATGATTCCTCCCTGCAGAGCCCTGGGGCCCAAGGCAGAGGCTGTGCACAGCCTCAAGGGCTCCCAATCTATGCGTCCACACCCCTGTGTGTGCACACAGTTCACTAAGGCACACACACCACTTCTCTAAAGCGGTTCTGCATTGTCCTGAAGGTCTGACAGTGGCCAGGCCTTGGGCGGAGGTCCCACATGGGATAAGCCGTGATTCTAGGACTGACCTTCCCCAGGGTGGGGCTCTTGGCCTCCCACTCTTCCAGGAAGGGAGCCTCCATCCTAGAGGACCGGGCTGGGGCCCTCTGGGGAGGCTGTGGGGGGAGCCGGGCCTGGCGGGAGAGATGGCAGAACTTCAAGAGATAAGCAGATGGATGAAAAGGCTACATCAAAGAGAAAGCCCCAGATCCCTTGGGCAGCCAGCTGTCCCAGCACACAGCGCTCAACGTCATGCTGGCCACATCTATGTCAGCACTGTGGGTGAGAAGTTCAGACCCCAGCACAGCCGTGGCCCAGGCTTCATGAGGAAACAGTCCAGGGCGGGCAGGAGTCGGGCTGGCAGCTCATGAATCCTGGTCATCACCACCCTGAGAGCACAGGCTCCCTAAGAGGCCAAGCTGGAATCTCATTCTAGCTGTACAGTTTCCTCGCTGTGTCCAGGGGGAGCCCACACGCTCTTTCTGAGCCGACATTCACTCATATGTGACCCTAGGATCCACTTCTGGTCTAATATGTTTCCCAACCTCTCATGAGCACCTAGTGCATGCCAACCATGATGCTAGTTAATGGGGATACAGCAGGAGCAAGGAGCCAAGGGCTCTGCTGGGAAGGCATGGTAAGTGAGTGAGGAGACAAACTAGAAAGCAGGACCATCCCAGGTGAGGACAGATATTGTGCGAAGAACCAGGGGTTGTGATAAGAGAGGCTGGGTGGGGAGGAGGTAGGAAGCGAGTTCTCCTTGGCAAGAGTACTGGGCTGGGGTGGTCAAAGAAGCCTTCCCTGAGAAGGTAACTTTTGAGCAGACGTCTGATGATGAGTCAGTCCAGCAGGACCAGAGCATTCCAGGCAGAGGAGAAGCAAGTGCAAAGGTCCTGCGGAACAAATGAACTTGCTCTGTTGGAGGATGGAAAGAAGGACTGGGTGGCTGAGGCAGAGAGAGCAAGGCAGGTGTTGGGAGGCATGTGCACAAACCCAGGGTCTGGGCCACCAAGAAAAACCCCCTGGTCCAGGTGGGAACCAGACACATGAATCCATCATTTAATAGTTTCCTCTACTGCTGTGGTTTCCAGTGTGGACCTGATTTCCCTCCAAAGAAGGAGGAGCCTCAACTGGCAATGGCAGACATGAAGCCATCAGACCCTAGAACTGGGGCTTAACGTGGGAGGCAGTGGGCAGCGAAGAGTGTGGCGGCCAAGGAAAAATACTAGCCCGGGAGCACCTCATTTGAGGAGCTTTTTTCCTCCCAATGAGGAGGTGGGAGGACCATCTGCCGGTTTATCCTTATCCACACAGTGGAAAATGCAAAGCAAGGAAACCTGAGTTCTGGGTTTTCCTTTGGCAGCTCCAAGCTCCGATCCCCACTGAGCCAGGAATGTTCTGTCCTTTCTCTCCGGGGAAGTCAATGTCAGTCATTCACGCCTCAGTGTTGCCGAGTCTACTTACCTCTGGCACTTTCTTCCCAAAGCCTGGATGAAGTCAGGGTTTTCCTGAGGGGCGGATGCTCAGGGAGGGAATGTGATTCTGGAGGGCGGGCCCTGTGTGAGGAGGGACGCGTGCCCCAGCCCCTCACACAGAGCCACTGAGAAAGAGGTTAGTCTCCCTTGGTCACAGAGGGGGAGTCAGTGACTGCTTCAAGAAGCTGGACTCTAACCTGAGTCACTTACTCCAACACAAGGTAGTCTTCTCCACCATGGCATCTGCATCTGGGCCACAGTTTCATGAAGGACTTTAGTCATTGAGGCAAGGAAGGGAGAGAGGTGGCGGGGTGAGGACGGGGCACCCCTTAAATAAATGAAGGACAGAATTCTCTAAGTCCCTGAGCGGGGAAAGTGACCCAGCTGGGGCTTGGAGCTTCCTCTCCAGACTTCTCACTGCATACTTCTGCCACCATGGCCCTGCAGGCAAATGGGGAGACAGGATGTGTAACATGGGCTATCCTGGATTCAGGTCCCAGCGCTTTCGTTTACCAATGATTGACATTATATTAATGGAAGTCACCACCCCCTGCGTGGGCTTCTCTGGTAGCTCAGTGGTAAAGAATTCCCCTGCCAATCCAGGATACACTCAGGGTTCGATTCCTGGGTTGGGAAGATTCCCTCGAGAAGGGAATGGCAACCCACTCCAGTATTCTTGCCTGAAGAATTCCATGGACAGTGGGGCCTGGTGGGCTACAGTCCATGGGGTCACAAAGAGTCAGATGCAACTTAGCAACTAAACAACAACAAAACCCCTCTGCACACCTTGACTTTCCCCTCTATAAAATGGAAATGGTGGCCCCTGGACCGCCCAGGATCAGGACGGGGTCCTGGGAGGGTGGGTGCAGGCGGCACTTTGTAAGTGATAAAGCACCATAAAAGCACCAGGGTTATTAGTATGATTTTCTTTCTGGTTTGTTTGGACAGAAAAAGCAGAAAACAATCCCAGGCACTGGTAGCACAGCCAAGAGGGGCTGGATTTCAAAAGGAACCTTACTACAAACTGCAGGAAACCAAGGGGTAAAACAACAAACACAGTTGCCCTATCCCCACCCACACTGCTGCTGGCTGTCTGAAGCTCTGGGCTCCGCCCGTGCCTGGGCCCAGGTCCTGCTGGCCTGGGCCCCAGAGGGTTGGCCAACTCTTCACACTTCCAATCACCGGCAGAGCTAAATGTTCTTAGAGATCACACCCCTCCCCTTAAGCAAAGAAAACATCTAGGCTCTGTTCACAGCACATGAGGACTGCTTGCTGGGGCTTAACAAAATGCCCAGCTCACTTTCCCCTAAACTCTGCCCACCTCCCAGGTGCCTGCACACACACGCACACACACACACAGACACACACACACACACACACCCACACACAGGGGAATTCAAGCTCACATCTTTCCCTTCAGTGGCCTGACAGAATGATCTGGTAAAACCTTACCCAATATAATCGACTCAGTAATTTTAATCTGCCACGACCCTCTCCCTCCACCCGGTCAGCTGATAGTCCTTCGCCTGAATATTCTTCTGGGGGCCAGCCACAGAAGGACATTCTTGGGCAATACCTTGGACCTCTAGAAGGCTCTTGTTAAGTTGGCTGTTTGTTCCCTGTGAGAAAGATTCGGTTGTCTTGTGTCAGTTTATCAGCTGAGCAGAAGGCTGGGCCCTGAGATAGCTGGACAGGGGACTGGTCAGTGCTGATGGCAGGTTGGCTTGAAGAGAGATGTGGAAGAGACACTGCATAGAGGAGCTGGAGGCGCCAGCCTCAGTGGGGTGCCCTGGTATGTTTGGGGTGGGACTCAGAAATGGCTGGAGGAGGGAAAGCTCTGGATTAGGAGATGGAAAGCCTGGTCAT